AGAGTAAAGTAATTACAATTCCTCCTGAGAGGGACATCAATCTGTGCACCAAATTTCATGGTAATAGATATTTTTCCCAATTTGCCATTTTGACATGAAATAGTAGGGTAAGGTCAAACAGAATCAGGGTGCTGTTGTTATATTCACTGGAAAGGCTCTGCTACACTTAGTTTGTATCATTGGCAATCATTGGCATTGGAGTTTACCTGACTTTTGGATACACCTTTTTCACAGCAGCCATTTTGACATTTTTTAAAGGTCTATGCATCCAACAGTTGTTGAGCCATTTCATTCAAAACCCACAAATGTGAATCTCGCAGTGGTGCTAGCGAAGAAATCAGGAGATAAGCAAAAGTCATTACTGGGAACCATGAACGTCTGTAAAGAATGATGTGCCCATCCATCTTGTAGATGCTGGTGTAGGTAGGTAAAAGTGATGCTTGAGGAAAATCTGGTTTATCCTGAGGGGAACATGAGCGCCTTTATCTGTTTGTTTTTTCTCGTTCTTTTCTTTTACTGTTTATGATAGTTTTAGTATAGTATAGCCAGTGTGCTTTGTATAAATTGTCTGTGCTAGGCCCTATGTGTTTTTTTGTTGTTTGCTTATTTTGGTTTCCTTGAATAATAATAATACATTTTATTTATACGCGCTTTTGTAAACACTTTACATAAAAAAACATAAAAGCAGCAAAACACATCAGACTAAGCTAAACATTAAAACCAATTTTAAAAAGGTGAGTTGTTGTCCGAGATTTGAATGTTGGAAGGTCGGTGCAGTCACGGATGTGTTTGGGGAGAGAGTTCCAGAGGGAGGGGGCAGCTACAGAGAAGGCTCTGTCGCCCCAGGACTCTGTCTAGGAAAGGTTAGAGAGGAAGGACCCTCAGAGCTCTGTCAGCAGTCTTGAAATATCTCAATGAGACCGGCCGCTGTAGCTGAAGAGAGCACAGTAACCACTGGTCTAACACTGTGATTGATAATTGCAAAATCCAGTAAAACAACTGTGATACGCCACTGAACACAACTCACCTGGGTCTTGCACATCCTCTTTTTCCTCATCCCCCTCTAAAGCCTCACTAAGCTTTAGATCTACCCGTTCTGTTCCCATGCTACCTTCCAGCCAAAGCTGCCACTACTACACCCACATCAGGCCGCTCAGGCAGCTTTATCTGCGCTACTGATACTGCTATTATCCACAGTGTGACCTCACTAGCGCACACTTTCTAAAAGACTCCTCGCTGGCACCTGAACAACATGTCCCGATAGTTTGTGTCCACTCACACAGGAATTATTGTGGACGGCAGCACAATCCTCCATTGGAGGGGGAAGGAATCGGTGTCACTTATCCCTGAGAAATCAGAGGACGGGTCAGCACAAAATGACCACTGTCCACAAAGAACTTATTTAACTGGGAAATATCAGTGGGTTAGGACTTCTCCAGTTTACCTCTTGGAGTACACGGGCAGACAGAGAAGAGAAACCCACAGATCCTTGGGAAAATGAAGTGCAAAGTTGGCAAATCTCACCTTAAGTGAACAGTAAATAGTTCTCATCCACACGACTAAGAAAAAGACCCTTAGGAGGGCTTATTTAGCTGGAGTTGGATCATGTGTGAGTTTTACACAATCCTGCCAAACTGGGATATTTGATCCACCTATTTGCATTTGGGCAGAATGGAAAGTGTTTATAAGACGCCAATGGACTGAACTAATGTCACTGGTCCCACAGTCTAGGGAAGCAATCCAGCAGCCTGGTGGACAGAGGCACTATTCTGTACTTACAGGTTCAAAACTTTGATCCAGGCTTGTGGAAGTGTCCTTTAGGAAGACACTGAAGCTGTCCCTATGTATAAAGGGACCCATTGTGAATTGTGAATCTCAGTAGTGGTGGGTTTGTTAATGGAAACATATCCAGCCACAATCAAACACCTCTCATAACGTTAACATGTGACATGTATGAGCACATGGGACAACGTGCATGTCGCAGAGTAGAGAGATAAAACACGATTCACACTGATTCCTCTTCAAAATAGTTACTCACTCTTTTTAATCTCCTCCAGTTTTTCCATATACTTTGAAAGGCTGCATCCTATTGTATGAAAAACGACAGTAAAGAGGCAAAAACACGTGTTAGTAAATGATGTCAGGCAACTAGTCTATGACACTGCAGTACATCTATACATTGACAGGATACCTGTGTCCAGCCTTGTTCGGACATGTTGATACTTAGCGTTTTTCGGTATCCTCTTTTTCATGTACTGGAAGGAGAAGACAACAGGGTTTCCGTTAGCTGTCTGACCACAAACATGAGCTAGAGAAGTGAGCCCGGAGCTTTTAGAAAGGTGCACTGTCGTTGATATGGTAACTTAACACTGGTCACAGCTAGCTAGCTAGCTTGCTAAGGTAGCTACACATTAGTTTGTGTTGGCCCACGTTGTATTGACAGGACGTGACGCTATCGACAGTGCAACGTTACCAGTCAGCGGGTCAAGAAAACAAGCAATGCGGCCTTTTAAGTAACGTTACCTCCACATTACCGATGCCCCGATTGAGCGACATCTTTTCAAACCCAAATGCCAAACATCAGTTTCCCAATGTTAACAACCTCGGCGTTGATTTGTCAGTGCTGTGTCACGGGCCAATCAGAGAAGCTGATACTGCGCCATCACCTACAGAGCGGTTTCATATGATATTGCTAGTTGCTTAGCAGCGGAAGACGCTCCACCTTAATGGCCTGCTGCATTCAAGTAACATAGAAATAACCAACACGTTTTGCGAAATAACGATGTAAACTTCATAAAAAGTGTTTTGCCTGTTGGCAGTGCCTCTGAGGTTAATATCTTATGCCCGTATCAGTCACCAAACGCTTACTTTACTTTACGTTACTTTTTATTCATGTTTTGATCATTTTACTTTTTTAAATTTGATGTTCACTTGCTGCGTGTCAATTCTTTCGAGTCAGTACGCAGAGCTTTGATTAATTTAATGTACTGTTAATTCTGGATTTCACAGTAAGTTACCATTGTGGCGAATGGTATTTTCATGTGGAGAATGGTATTTTAATAGTGGATTCTCTTATCTCCCTGTTTTGATATGTTTCCTGAATGCAGCACCACTCTCTTCGTTGCCACAAGATCAAGCCACAGGTGGCTAGATCTTTAGCTGTAGAAATAACGGCTTATTCGGCTGCTTATGCAAACTCAAAGCCCAGTTTTCATTTAGAGCTAAAAAAAAAAATCATCCAGAAACAACTTAACTTTAACTTAACTTTAAAGACTTTGGAACAGAGCACCGTATTATCTGACTTCGACAGGTCAGGTCTGACACTGCTGCCTGCTGAAGGCGCACTCTTTGACAGTTCATGGAAGTAACGTTGAGCAGCGGGCGGTTCAACTTTCCCTCTGACAACATTGGCTCTTTTACCAAATGCCTACTATGGCGTCTGTTTTGGTAAGTCTGTTGTTAATACGTCCCTACACTGGTGCTAATGGTAAGTTAGCTGAGTCGGCGAGTTTGCTAGCTGCGTCTCTGCTAAGAGGATTTGCTGTGGGGCTTCAAACACACACAGGGTCCACAGTGTTATAACATAGTGGAGTTGCTTGTTGGTAAATAACGGTCTTCAGCTCTTGACTGTTTTCCCTGAACGCAGCCATGTTTGGTCTGCTCAGTCAGGCACTGTCCCTTAGGGATTTCTTGCCCAGCCCTCCACTACTAGCAACACAGCAACACTGCTCTGTCAGTGCTCAGTATAGTTCTGACAGAAAAATGTGAGTTGGGGGATTTCCATCAGTCTAATCAGTTAGAAGAGCTGTTTTCCCATGACTGTGCTAGCCATGGGAAGACTGCCTCCTCTACCACCTATTTTCCAAACCTGTTGTGAACCAACATTTTGAGCAAACTATTGCTTAAAGGGCAGAGTTTTCCTCTCTGACTGAGGCACTGTCATTGCAGGAGGATCCAACCCTAGAGAGACACTTCAAGGGGCATAAAGACGCCGTCACCTGTACAGACTTCAGTCCAAACCGCAAACAACTGGGTAAGCTGCTTCACAGACTCACATTATTATTATTGTTCAGAAGTTCTTTGGCAGTGCGCAGATAGCTTCCCCTATATAAAAAAATAACATGTCACACTTTTGGCTTTCATAAAAAAAAAATCAAACATTGGTTTCACATCAAAACATTTATTTTGTCCTTCGCTATTACTTGGAACAGTTAAATTGATGTACAGTTATGTAGTAGCGTGATCATCATGACTGTAGTATTTAGTGAAATAATCATCATCACCTACTAGAATATTTGTGGACAGATTAGGCTCTCCTTTCATATGAGACGCAATTAAAAGTTAACAATACCTTTCCAAACACCAATAATGAAATCTACTGCAATCCTCCAGCAGGAAATCTATACAGTTTATTGGGCAAGTCCTAAATTCATCTTTCGTTTGTCTCCCTCTAGCCTCAGGGTCAGTGGATATGAGCCTGATGATCTGGAATCTAGCTCCAAAGGCGAGGGCTTTCCGCTTTGTGGGCCACCAAGACATCATCACTGGGTTGCAGTTCTCCCCCTCTGGTAACCTGGTGGCCACTTCCTCTAAGGACAGAACGGTCAGACTGTGGACACCTTCCATGTATGTTCACTTCTGCTGTTTTAATCAGGAACTTTTTGTGTACCGTAATATGAAATGTCAAACAAATGGTCTGGAAACTAAACTTAAGCTAAATCAGCAAGAGGGTCACACCTACCACGCAGGCTGAGGTTGCACGACATGTGTGACTGGTGGAGGCTACGTTTGGAGTCAGTTGCATTTAATGTTGCGTGTCTGTATTCCACAGTAAAGGAGATTCAGCAGTGTTCAAAGCCCACACGGCCCCTGTTCGCAGTGTTGCTTTCTCCCACGACGGCCAGAGACTGGTGACGGCGTCCGACGACAAGTCTGTCAAAGTGTGGAGTGTTCACCGGCAGTGCTTTGTCTACTCTCTCAACCAGCACACCAACTGGGTTCGCTGTGCCAGGTACCCAGCTCCACATCTTAATGTAACATGCTCTAGCGTGTTTGTGTGTGTGTCTTGTAGCTTACATGAAGATTTAACAACTTGGACACTTTCTGAAATAATATTTTATCTGCTCGCAAAAGGATTTTACGATTTTTACACATGACTTTTTACAAACCAAGATAATAGCCATGCGCTTCTTCTTAACATCTTGCACTCTCCTAGTCATTTCTTTTTAGGTGTTTTGAATCGGGCTCTATGTGAAACATCTGATAGAGATGAGTAGATAAAGTTCAGTGGTCAAGATTGGCTGCAGTGTGTACTGTAAGTGCCTGAAGCAGAGAACTGCTAAAAAGTTCATTTGGCCTCATTGGTATAAGTAGCGTATTTTGTCTTTTCCTTACGACAGATTTTCTCCTGATGGCCGTCTGATAGCTTCCTGCGGAGACGACCGTACCGTCCGGCTGTGGGACACGTCCACCAAACACTGCATCAACTGTTTCTCTGACTATGGAGGGTAAGCCTTATTCTTCTTGGCTTTAATTTTGCCATCACTTTGGGTTTTATTTTAATTATAGTGTTGTGACTAAAGGTCTGTTAGTTTGAGCCACTTAATCAAATAGTCTTTTTTTTTTGTCTTTCTAATTAGCACAATCCCTGGACATTAAAAACAAAATAAACTGTGTGTAGTCATTGCTTTGTCTCTCCCATAGATGGCATTGTTTTGTAATTTTTATAGGAATGTTCCGAGCCGATCTCAACAATGGGTATTAGCACTAATCAAAGCATTTTTTAACTGATCGGTATCCGCTATATTAAGCTTAACTTTACTTTGACTAAAGGCTGCACCAAAGCACCAACGCTGGAGGGAGAAACTCCCATCAGACAGCCATTTGTTATTTTACACTTTATTGTGAAAAAAAAACATTAAGGAGCAGCTTAGATGCAGGCATTTTCTTCTAGATACAATACAGAGCAATTTAATTGTCAAACATATACACTGGACTGATTTTAATAACCTTAATGTACCTGAAGTGTGCACTGCGCAGTGTATTATCTAACAAAATAAAATACTCTGGTGTTAAAAAAGCTTGATCAGGACATCCCTAATTATTTAAGCACCAGACTGTTAAACTGCTGCTGGTCACTGACTCCACTGAGTGTTTTTGATATTCCAGATCAGCGACGTTTGTTGACTTCTACTCAAGCGGCACCTGTATAGCATCCTCAGGAGCTGACAGTTCACTAAAAATCTGGGATCTACGGACCAACAAGCTGATTCAGCATTATCAAGGTATGTCAAAATGTCAGAGCTATAATAATGCTATATA